TACAAGCATTTTTTTTTTTGCAAACTAAGCCAGACATTTCATCTAAGGAACACGTGTTTCTTCCCACAAAACCAAAGTAGGTAGTGTATGCCTTTTGCACCCCTAACTCATGACATTGGACTATCCCAAAGATAATAAAATACAGAAGCTATATGTGTACACATGCACACACACTCCTAACAGGACAGTCCAAAGCAATCTTCCCGAATTCAAAATCCAAGAGTTTGGTGCCAGAACACATAGAATGTGTTGCAGGGGCGGGGGGGGGGGATAGAGACAACCCAACAACCCTGGGAAAGACAGGCTGGTAAAATCCTTAAGACTCAGCCTCTGAAGATTTGGATCCAGCTCACCATTGCAAACAATTAGATTCTCAGACAAGTTGGCTTCTGCTCACCTCTCTGGCTACTGCTCTTTTCGGTTCAACCACTCTTCCATCAATTGAATGAGGTCTTGCAGACATGGCTGCATCCACTTCAGCCATAGATGAAAATGTTACAAAACCAAATCCCCTTGATCTTTTGCTTGCAGGATCCCTCATAACCTATAAAGCAGAAATCTGACTCTATTACCCAGTAAACACAATGTGACAGCACATATTTTTTTAGTATAGCGAAACCAAAATTTTGTTTTTAAGTTTGAGTTTGCAAGTAGGAATTTCAAAGACAATTTACCACACAGTCTGTGAGTTTCCCCCATTGTTCATAGTAGTTTCTCAAACTTTCTTCTGTTGTTTCAAAGCTTAGGCCTCCAATAAAGAGTTTACGGAACTGTTCCTTTTCTCTCTGCAAACAAAAATAGGAGAGCACAATGGGATTTAGATTCAGGTTCACATACACTTTATAAAGCTCCTAAATGCTTGTTTTCTAACAAAATTAAGCTTTTTTAATTCTACATAAATATAAGACATTTACAGTTACAGGCTTGCCAAAATGGTTTTTTTTTGTGTGTGTTTGAGTGTTCTCCTGTCTGCCCTCTAGTGATGGTTCCAATAAATCTCAAGATAGGCCAAGCGCCCACCATAAATGATCTGAAAAGGCCACCTTTTTCATTACTCAAAGTTGCACACCAATCTCGGGAGGAAAAAATAACCTTCAACATTTTCCACAATTGCTTATTAGTAAAACTAACAGCCTGATAATGGGCTAAAATGTTTTGGCTAGTTCATTTGCTTGGCTGAAAAGTTTCAACTTACACAGGTGACTATTACCTTCAAATTTTATACTGTTATACTACTACTCTGGAAAATTTAAGTCCTAGGAGCCCTAATCCACATCTTGAATTTATAGCACTCTTTTCAGCTTTCTAAAAACATTGTTATCTCATTTGATCCTAACTAAACCATCCAAGCAAGATAAAATGCTATTATCACTATTTTACAGATGAAGAAATTGAGGCAGATCAAGTGTCAGGGAATCAAAAACAATTTTAAGTTGACTACTGGAATTCAAGTGAACTGGATTGTAATTCTGCTTTAGTAACAGATCATCTAATGCCTTAAAATGAATTCTCCAATATGGAAAGTTGTCTCACATTTGTGTGCATCCAAAACTCACATTCTACTTAAGTGTATAAGTGGATTTTGTTATTTAAAGTTAACTGTCAAATAGGCAGGACTGCTGACAAGATTAAAATGCATCATTTATAACATCATGCTTCAAAACAAAGAGAAACATGTTTAATAGGAGGGAATAGTGCTTCCCAAGTCTCAATCTAGATCTAGGTTGCTTAAAAAAATTCAACATCGAATATTAATTCCTAACAAAGAAACTTCCTAGAATGTATTCAGATGTATCCCTCATTCAGGCCTTCAAATAATCCAAGCAGTACAATGAATTGCAATAAAGTGAAGCACAATTTAAAATAAAATGTTGAGATCTCGAACATAAAGGACAAAAAGGGCATCTTTTAAAAAATAAAATTATCTAGGTTTACTGAGCCTAAATTTTGAAAAAAGGCCCAAATATCAATATTTAGCTCTTAAGCTTCTTTTCCAAGTTACTATATTCCAAGTCCAACTGCACAGAACAAGTCCATCTTAACTTCCATTTTGTTATCCAAAATTTCTACTTTTGGATGTAAACCTCCTTGAAATTAGCTTCCAATTCGTCAAATAAAATTTTGATTCTTCAAATACTCGAGTCATTCTCAATGGCAACAGATTCAGAAATGCTAAGACTCAAAAGAAAGACTGACTACCCGCCATGATTAGGGCATGGCCACGTGGTAGACACAGTAAAGAAAGAAGATGGAGAGGCCAGTTTCACCTTTTCTGGTGTGACCTTGGCCAAGAAATTCTCATTTACAGAGATAAAACTCTCAATCTTTTAGTCAATGGGTTTACAGGATTATAGTGGGTGATCCCAGGTTGGAGAATGACTAAACACTAGAGGCTTGGGTTCTAGCAAGTAAAACAAATTACCTTGAAAAATTACATCCCGCGACTATTCGTTTTACAAAACTGTAATTGTGGACTATTACGATGCATGTACCTGCCTCATTTTGCATTAAGCCTAAAAGGGGTGTTTTGGTCTGGTGGTGCATCCCATTAGTGCCAGTAGAACTAAATCTAAGAAAAAGCAGCCTCCTCACATGCTTGCCCCGCAAGCTCACGCTCCCTTTAAGACATTACTGTAGGGGCTATGACGCTTAACTTTTACATGTAAGAATGAAACGAGTTTGTTCAAGCACGTATTCAAAAATCCAGAGAGTAATGGCACAATGGAGTTAAAATAAAAGCCTTTGCAGGCCAGAGGCTCGGACTTGGAATTAACCTGGGCACTGCCCGCTCGACTGGGCCCCAACATCCTTTACCGAATCATCACCCAATTGCACCAATGGGTGTCTGGAGGTGGCTGCGGCCTCCCCAGCCGTGCTCCGTCGCGCCTTTTGGCGGCCTGTCCCTCCTAACAGTTCCAACCGAAGGCGCGGTCCCCGGGGAGCACGCGAACGCCGCGCTCCGCTCCCCTCCCCCTCCTCTTCTTCCTCCCCCTCCTGGAGCAGCGGGAGGCCCTGGAGAGGCCCGGCCCGAGCCGCCCCACCCCCCCCTTTGTACATTACCGAACACGTGGTCCCGCGCGGGAGGGAGACGAGGGGGAAGAAGGCAGGGGGGATGGGCCTGGATGGCGCAGCAGCTTTTTCGCTTCCCCTCCCCTCCCCCAGGCTCCGGCCCGGCCCGGGGCGCCCCCCACTCACGCCAGGATCCTTGGCGGCCGCCCTCCCTCCGCGCTCCGGAAGGCGAGGGCGCCATTTGGCCGGAACAAGGTCGCTGCAGTAGCGAGGACGGACGGGCGTGCGAGCGGGCGACCGAGGCGACGGGCCCGGGAGAGACGGAGGGCACCCGCGCCGGACCGGAACCCACCAGCCGAATCGAGGGCAGGGACCGAAGCGGCTGCGGCGCGAGCGGCCGAGCTCGGGAAAATGGCGGCGTTGGCGCTGGGCGCGGCGTCGGGAGCGCGCCCCGGGACCGCGCCTCCCTCCCCCCTCCGGCTGCCGCCGCCCAAACGGCCCGACCCAGCGCGGGAAGCCGGCGGGCCGGGCCGGGAGGCGGGCAAGCAGCGACCCCAGGCCCGGCTCGGCCTCGGCGGGGCCTCTCGGGCTGCCGGGCCCCGAGGGAAACCGCCCCGAGTCTGGCCGCCCCTCCCCCCCTTCCCGGTCGCGCGGAGGCAAATGGCGGCCGCGGCCCCAGAAAGGGAAAGCGGGTCCGCCAGCCCCTCAGACCGGCCCTGTCACGGCCCCGCGGCGCATCCTCCCCACAACCCTCCCCCTCTGGGTCCCGGCTCACCTCCATGGCGGCGTCGGTCGCCTCAAGCCGGGGCCCCGCAGCCGAGCGAGATGAGAAGGATCTCCGCGGACGGGCGCGAACCGGACTCGTCCTGGCGCCGGTGGGGGGCTGCCGTGCCACGGCCCGGGAAACCACACCGCCGCCGGGCGCTGGGCGCAGGGTGCGAGGCGGAGAGCGAGGGCGAGGGCGGCCGCAGAGGAGAGCGACGAACGAGAGGAACAAGCGGAGGCGGCGACTCTTGCGGCGGCGGCGGCTGCTGCGACTGCTGCTCTCGCTCGCGCGGCTGCCTCTTTTCTAGAACCTTCCCTCCGACCAACGCGTCTTCCCTCTCCGCCTACGTCAGTGCGGCTGCGCAGACGCAGTAACGGCCGCCAACGGCGCGGACGAGCTACGCTCGCCTTACGCCAACGGCGTACCCCGCCCCCACAGGGCGGTGCCTGGCGCCATTGGCGTCCAGCGGACTGGGGCCGGGCGCAGAGCGCGAGGAGGCGTAAAGGGAGTCTCAGAATTGCGCACGGCCCCCGCCTCGGCGCAGGGCGGGGGAGAAACGGTCGCGCAGTTTGAAATTAACACAGCCCCCGCCCCCGCCCCGGGGCGCCCACTGGCTCCCCTCTGCGCCGCCAAGTCCAGGAGCCCCGCCCCGCCCCCCCAACCCGCCCCGTTCTGGGGCCACGACTCGGCTCCGGCCCACCTGAAGGGCCCCGATTCTGCCGCCCCATTCTTCCCGCGGCCCCCTCCCCCACTCGTGGCAGGCCCCGCCCCCACCCGTGGGGAGGAAGTCCTTGCGGGCCCGCGTTTTGGCGCCAGTGCTGACGCCGGCGCGGCGGAGCCCCCGCCCACCCCGAGCCTGCGCGAGCGCCTGGCCCTCCGCAGCCGCCTTCCGCCCCCCCCCCGTTCCCCGTCCCGTCCTCCTCTCTTGGGACCGCACCGCGGCCAGTGACGGTAAGTGGAGTCGCCGCCCCCACGCTCTCGGCGCTGCGCGGCCCGGGGGCGGTGGCCGAACGCCCCTCCCGCCCCTCCCCCCGCCACTTCCCGCCGCCCGGAGCCCCGCCCCTGACGTCATCTCCCCGCCCCGGCTTGCCGTCGGGCTCCGCCTCCGCGCTCCGCCTCCGCGCTCCCCCTCCGAGCTCAGCAGCGACGGCAGCGGCGGCGGCGGCCCCAGCAGCAGCAGCAGCAGCAGCAACAGCGGCGGTAGCAGCAGCGGCAGCGGCGGCCCCGCGCAGCCGCCCGCCCGCCGCGGCCCCGGGGCCCGTCTCACCCGCTCGCTCGGAGGCAGCAGCAACAGCAGCGGCGGCGGCCGCGGGCAGGGCTCGCACGCACTCAGGCGGGCGGCGGCAGGAGCAGCGGCCCGGACCCGGAGCGGCGGTGAAGTCGGTTCCTTTCTTGCTCTCCCCTCCCCTTCTCCCCCACCACCGGGGCCCCGGGGCCGGGCGGGGGTCGCCCACGTCGGGGCTGCACGGGTGCGGCGGGCGGGGGCCGCGGCGGCCACGGGGACCCCCCGCGGGCCCGTCCCGTTAGCTGTGGCCGAGGCCGGCGTATCCGGCGCCAGGCCCGGCTCCCCGCGCGGCTGCGGGCCTTTGTTCCCGCCCCCGCTGGGGTCCTTGAGGCGGGAGCGGGGAGAGGCCGCTGGGGGGTGGGGGGCGGCCGGGGAGGGGGATGGAGGGCGGCGGATGGTCCGCCCAGCAGCGCGGCCTGGTCTTGGACGGCGGCCTCCCTTTGGCCTTGGCCTGGGGAGCGTGGGCAGGGGGCGGCCACGTGAGGGCTCTGGCTGCGGGGTGGCCACGGGAGCCCCGGGGGTCTGCTCGTTATCTGCCAGAGCTCCAATTTGGGTCCGGTGGGATTAAATTGGGAGCACTGCTGCCCGCTGTCCCCGCCTAACTCGGCAGTCCCCGGGTGCTCCTTGCCCCGGGGGTCGGAGGAGCACCAGGCTTTGTGTCTGTTCCCTCCCGGTCCCCACCCCTTCCCCACGAAGGTTGGAGAATGCTAGGGCTTAGGTGAGCATGCTGGTGGAGGCTTAGGTGTGTGCCACTCGTAACGTGCGCAGGAGTGAGCTCCAAGTGGGCTTCTCCATTGGATTCTGTCCAAACTCGCTTGTGTTGAGAAAGAGAGATGTGTGCTGCATACATGGGGGTTGGAATCAGGACCGAACTTGTATTCAACTAGCTTTTTCTCTCATGTAAACTTCCTTTTAACTGTCATGCATTTTTCTAGTAAAAGCTCTTCAAGTCTGCAATAAAAAATGGCCTCCAATAAAACTACATTGGTAAGTTAATAAGCACCTAAAATATGTAAGGATTAACCCAAGTCTTCCCCCCCCCAAAAAAAATTATAACTTTGCATCTCTGTGGTTCATAAACACACATCCAACTTTAACCAAGTGTAGGAATTCGGGCCCCATCCAGAGACCTTGAAGTTAGGAAGAGAGGACATTAAAGTGACTTTGTAACAAGTCAAATAGATCTAGTGAGAAACTCATCTCAAACACATAGGGGCTTGTTGTAGGGCAGAAAAGAGCTTCACAGAAGCTACATAAAGCAACAGTTACATAGTATTTTCTGAGAAAATAACAGGGTTTCTTTAGCATCCTTTCTTGCTATAGTCGTCCCATAGGCTGCAGCCAGCCTGAGAGAGGGCCTATGGAATTCCTCAGAGCCTTCTGATTGGCTGAAGCCACAGTTGAAGTTTAGGTGATTGTTGCTTTAGGGACGTTTAGTTTAAAAGCCAGGTTATTCCTCAAGTTAATCTGGGGTAAAAGTTACTCTTTGAACCACTTCTGGTTTTTGTTTGTTTTTTAGAGCTTTGTGGGAGCCAGGGAGACTTTAAACTGCTGCATGTCTCCCCAAGCTGTATCAGTCAGATTGTAATTTCCTTATAAGAAAGTTTTGGGAGACAGGGAAGGACAGAACTCCAGTCTTTGTGCATATTTCAAAACAGCCTTTTCTCCCAAGTATAGTGTTTTGCATCTGGCCATTTCATGATGCCTCATATATCGATTTCTGTAGCAAAATGTGCATAAAGTTGCATCTACTTAGACCCATGGAATTTAATACTTGCCAAAAGCAAATCTTCATTTGGAACATTCATTGAAAATTCACATGAAAATCACGAAATTCAAAGTTATGGTTCCCACTGTAACGAGTTCTGTATTGTATTAGTAATCTTTTTAGGCCTAAAAGGTGAGTGTTCACACCTCTGAACCCACAGTGTCTGTTTTTGCTTTGTATACAATCTTTGGATTTCACAGTAAAGAAAAGAGAAAATTGGTGATGAGTCAATGTGATGTTAGATTGTATATTTGAGCCAAATGCCAGGGAGAGTACATCACTGGCTGAAATACTAATGCTGTCCATGAGGTTCCTGAGCGCTTGGGTGTCACTTATAATGTTAAAGTGGCTTTGGGAGGAGGCCTGGATAATACCCCCCTGCTTTTTTCCTTCTGATTTTTCCTTGGCTTCCTCAGCCAAATCTCCATGTTTTTATTAGTTTGCATTGATTTCATCTTGTGGCCAAAGAAGCCAAAGGAAAGAGTTACCTGCCCATGAGGTAGAGGATGGAGGGTTCTGGTAATGAATGATGGGCAGAAGGAGCCCATGAGAAGGTCAGGTTGCTCTGCCATCTGTGTCAGTTGCTCTCAAGTCAGCAAAGAGGTGTGCACACTGGTTCCCAAAACTTTGTGCCATCTTACCGTGCTTTGTACCTAAGTGAACAAAGGTCTTCCCAAGAGGACCCCCGAATGGCAGCTTTGCATCGTAAAAAATCAGTGGGATTTTCAGAGAAATCCCCCAAACCCTAGAGGTGCCAAGTCTGATGTTCTCCCCTTTTTTCTATGACTGAGTTGTGAAAGTGGTTTCGTTTTTCTTTGCCACGTGGTAGAGAGGAGTGGTCTGGGATTAGAGGGGGATGCCCCCACACTGAGAATTTTCGTAGTTCATTTTTCCAGAAGAGAGCACTGAGCATGAAAAGAGCCCTCCAAACCAGCATCCCACCAGGGCATTGGGCGCCGGGCCTGCCGGCCAGCCTAGCCTCTGTGCCTTTGCCTCTTTCTCTGGCTCCTTCCTCCTGGTTTCTGCTTCTGTTCTGTTTAACCTTTTGAACTTGAGTCTCTGCTCTTTGTCTTCATGGACAGCGGCTGCTTTGTCTTCTGTCGGGTCAGTGCTCCATTCTGATCAGCTTTTTGTCTTTCCCAGTTTCTCTATTTGCCCCCCAACTATTCTGACTTTCCCTGTTGCTCATCTAGTGTTCAGAAGCAGAAAGCTCTTGGACCATGCTCCATCCACATACTGCCAAAGTATCTATTTCCTCTTGGTGCTGATGATTTTACTCCCTGGGCATCTCCTTGGAAGTTTTAGTAAAACAAAATCATAAGTTTGATGAGTTTATAATGGAGACGAGATATCTTCCATTTCACATGGTGTCATAAGTATGTGGGTACGTTTGTGTCAATATTCGAAATATATACTCTTGGAATCTTGACACTCCTCACTTCTTTGTGCATTCACGCTATATTGGGGAGGTTGCCTTAAGCCACCAAGCAACTAGAAGCCATTGTTTTCCAAGAAAACATATACTAAGTGAATGCTTAACTGGGGAATCTGGGAGAATTGTTTCAGTGAGTAAAAAAAACCTTCAGAAAAACATGGTTGCTTGAAGACATAAAAGTATTGTCTCTTTGAATGTGGGCTCCTACCAGAGGCCTGGTGGCATTACTGATGAGCTGGGCCACCATTTTAGAACTTGTTCTCTTAAGGGACAGAGAAATAGGAGCCGTTTTTTTTTCTTTCACCTCCACCTTCAAAATCATTTTGGCTTCTTAGTGTGGTAGCAGTATCAGCTTGTTTTAAGTGGTCCGAGATAGTCCAAGAATTAGGGCACTACCTGGCTGTCAGCTTTTCACTGTATTGTTGGAGCGGGGGAGGCACAGGCACGTGTTGGCTGTTTCCTGGGCCAGCTCTAAGCCGAGCACGGCCCACTTTGAGACTTTTGGGTTGTATTTTAAGAGTGAGTTTTTAACTGTGTCTGCCTCATTCTCCCTGCTGAGCTGTAGTCCTGTTAACACACTTGATTCAATTACCAGCCATGTGACTGGCCACATCCATGCATGTCCCTGGTTAACATGTGGTTTCTCAAACAGAAGGGGCATCTCTTTGCTCTGTTTGCATCCTGCTATGACATTTTATTTGTTTTTGCTCCTTTTGGGGGCTCTGCACTTGGGCATGTGTTTACAGTCCTAGGAAGCCTTGAATTGCAGCAAAGGGTCAAGACAGCTGGGAGTGGCTTCTTGGGGGTGGGGGGGGGGCTCTTGGGTGCCTTGTCCTTCTGCTAAGGCATCTCTGTGGGGGGGGGTGTAAATGAGGAGTAGCAAGTGGAGTCTGGGAGAGCTGCCACATGTTAGAAGTTAGCCACCCGTGATGGTTAAGTGAGAAGCAAGGAAACCCAAATGCTTAACGCGGCTTTTTTTCCTTTTTTCTCTTTTCTTTCCTTTTTTTTTTAGCAAAAGATGGGAAAGAAACAGAATGGCAAGAGTAAGAAAGTGGAAGAAGCCGAGCCTGAGGAGTTTGTGGTGGAGAAAGTGTTGGACCGGCGAGTGGTGAACGGGAAAGTGGAATATTTCTTAAAATGGAAAGGATTTACTGAGTAAGCAGCTCCTTTGCTGTCCCAGCTGCCCCAATAAGCGTCTGTCGGGTGGGACGGTGGGGATTGAAGGGCTTGGGGCTTAGCAGCCCAGGACATTTCCCCGTGTGGCCCTGGGAGAGTTTCTTCAGCTCCCCTGACCTCTGTCAGTGACTGGCCTGAGGCATCCACTACCCCCGGGTCTGGGGTCCTGGGACTTCCTGAGCGCTGGTATAAATTGAGGTTTTTAATCCAAGAGCAGTCAACAAACATTGATGCTCAGAAGACAGATAGAAACACAAGAAACTGGTGTCTAGGAAAGCCGCGTAGACGTATCCCCGGTAAGCGGGGGGCTTGGGAGGGTCTGGTCTCTGAGGAGATGAGGACGGGCCCCAGGCAGGAGCTGACCGGTTAGTCCTGCCGCGCAGGCCCTCTGTGGCATGCGTCAGAAGCAGTGTTCGGTGCTGCTGGACATGTCAATGGCCTCGCCATCTCTGCGCGGTGTACGCTGGACGTAGGCCGGGAGGCCCCGAGCCTCTGGTCCAGGGGTGGGAAGGGGCACTCCCTGTGCTCCGGTTAGGGCCAGGGCTGCTGGTGCTGCGGTGTCTGGCCACGATGGGGAGGCCGGGCTGTTTGTATTGATCAGTGTCAACTCTTAAGTCTGGTTGCCCTTTCCCAGGGACAGTGGTACCGGGTGCTAGAAGTCTTCATGTAACCTAACAACACTTTACAAAGGTCTTGTTCGATCCTCATAGAAGCTGCCACCCGCATTTTAGAGATGAGGAAACTGAGTGTTCCGAGGTGAGGTGACTTGGCCAGGGTCACGCTGCTGGTCGGTGCCAGTCGTGTGAACTCCGTCTCCCATTTTGCCATCTTTTCAGCCTGGCTTTCCAGCTCTCTCGCTCTTCCGCTTTGTCTTGGTTTGAGTCTTTGTATCACATCTGGGGCCTTGTGCACAGCACAGCTATGGTCGGGTGGTGTTTTTGGAGTTCCTTTCTAGCTGCCCAAGTTTGAGCAGGGCCCATCAGGCCAGGAGGACTGCTGGAAGGGCCTCAGGCATCGGCCAGTGGCCATCATCGGGGGAGGTGCTTGACACCCCCAGTGAGGGCTAGGGCCCGGAAGGGATTCGGAGAATGGGTATGTGGGCGTTGACAGTGAAAGGGAAACATACCAGTGACAGTTGAGAATCCATGTAGCAGTGACAGTGAACATGGTAACTTTGTAGCTTCAGCGGGTTGGAATCCACAAATGTGAGTGTGGGCAGAGCTCTCTTGGGGCACTCAGCAAGGCTCCTGCCGCCATCTTTGTGCAGAGAGGTGGGGGCTCCCTCCCAGGGGTCACAGGGCCCTCTTAGACAGCCTCTGTCGGCTTTCCACAGTGATTGCCCTCAGTTAAGTGGCTGCTAGCAGAGAGGGTGCATCCTGAGGGCAGAGCAGACTCAGTTTGAACCTGGGCTTTGCCGACATTGCCCCACAGGGTTGAGGAGGAAATCTTGCCACCTGGAGAGTTCCCAGAGCTGTTCCTCTGTTTCCTTTTCTTGGCAGCTTAATAGAGCCCACCTCCAGTAGAAAACCACAGCTGCTTCCTTTCCTTGCCCTTTGACTTCCTCTGCCAAGCTATTCCTAGTCCCATGAACAGTAAACACCTGCTATGTGCCCAGCACTGGGGATTCAAAGAAAGACACCAGACAGTCTGTGCCCTTGGGGAGCTCACCATCTAATGAAGGGACACAACCGGTCATAGATGGGATGAATAGGAAAGAATTAGCAGAGAGAAGGGACTAGAATCCAGAGAGGTTGGGAAGAGCTTGGGAGGGGAGGGGGGACTGGAAGGAAGCCCAAAGGCAGAGGGGCCAAGGAGAGCATTCTAGGAATGAAGGACAGCCAGGAGGGGGCCCAGGAGGATCATGGTGCCCTCTACCGAACAGGGCCGATGGAACACAGCTAGAGCTGGGTTTAGTGGTGGGCAGGCTGAATCGTGGGAATAGGTGTCTTTACTTCCAGATGGCTAGGAATATTTCTGTCTTTCAGCCACTGTTGATCCTTGCCATTACACTTGATTAGACGTAATCTGGTCCTGCTACCACCTAGAAAAGATTGGTATTAATTAGCCGAGACAGGCTCATCTGTGTAGCCTCTTATCCGAATCTCTTTACTAAAGTGGCTAAGTCATTGCAAAGTTGTCATTTCAGGACTCTGATATGAGCTGTTGGTTCTGCCCCCAGTGTTTGATTTTTCTGTCCTAAATGCAGGTAGGAGAGAGCTACTATAGTCAGTTTTCTGCTTGAATAAAGTCTCCTGTGTTAAAAGGAGCATTTCAGAGTCAGGAAGTGTAGGCTTAACCCAAACCCTGCTCCTCCCAAATGAGCTGGGTGCTGGTTTCATGTTGCACAGAGAAGGGGAGAGGAAGCTGGAGTATATATCAAGAACCAAGAGTTTACCTCTGCTTGTGTAGCAGCATGAACTGAAAGGGCACTGGAGGGTTTCCAGTACACTGCCCATTGGGTCACTAAAATTAGACTACGAAAAGTGAGCCCTTTTGTTACCCTTTGGGGTAAATAGGAACCAGGGGTCTGTAAAGGCCGCCTTTTGAGCCTGGGCATTGGCAAGTGGCCCTAGGTCAGATCTGCAGTTGTGGGAACTTGGCCAGCCTTTAACTGTCAGTTGAACAGAAGGCTGGGGATCTTAAGATTGAGGAGGGGACGGGGGCCTCTGGATGAGGTCAGGAGGCCTTGGGAGGAGCTTGAGCTGCAGAGAGAGGGAGGAAAAGGTGGTGCCCGTTGCTTTGTCCTCCAGTGAGATGTTTCTTTCCATTTTGTGGCTTTGGGTGGCTTTCTGGGAATGTTCTGGATTGTCCACAGCGTGGAATCCTCTCCTGTGGAGTCTTTTTGGGCGTTTAGGTCCAGGCTGAGCAGACAGAATTGTAGAATCCCTTCCCCTAGGAGAGAGAGGTGCTAGGGAGTCAGGAGGAGGGGCCTGGCAGATGAGAAAGTAGATACAGTTTGAAGGTGAGGGTAGTAAGCCCTGGCAGGCAGCTGAGGCACTTTGCTGGGGCGCTTTGAAAGAGAGCGACGTTTTGTTCCATGGTGAGGACGGTGAGCAGGAGTGTCCCGGGTCCCTCTTATGACCCCTCCAAGGTGATGGTGACAGTGACAGTGAAGGAGCTTCAGTCACATAAAGAGCCATCAGAGAAGGGACTGTTAGGCCCAGGGAGGAGATTAGTGTCTTTTCTGATGTGGAAGGAGAAGAGGTGGGTTCGAGCTCAGTGGGTGCCCTGATAGCTCAGTCTGGGAAGGAGGTTCCTTGTAGAGGTGGCGCGCTGTCGGTCAGGATCCAGTGTGTGTCCAGCAATGGCTCCTTGTGGCCTCTGCCCACGCCGGGCAGCCTTCCTCGGAGGGCCTGCCATGCCCAGGCCACATCTGTGGTTCTCAGAGGATCCTAGGGGCATAGGATGGGCAAAGTATCCCCCTGCATGTGATAATGGAGAGACACATGGGTGCGGGCCGGGCCAAGCCAATCCTGGGGAGCAGAAAAGCTCCCCGTGTTAGACCCTTGGGATCTGGAGCTGAGACTGGACAGAGCCCAGGCCCAGTTCCCCTGCCCAGGAGCCAGAGAAACTAAAGGGGGAACAGGCTTTTGTGTTTTCTTTTCTCTGTCCACCTGCCAAGGATGGCTGGTCCCTGGAGGGGAGGGCCTGACTGCTCTCCCTCCCTAAGTGGTTGTGAAACAGTGTTGGAGTCCCAGGGGTGGCAGGTGTTCTCAGCAGTCCTGGCTTCTCACGGCACTAACCAGTAGTCAGAGAGGTCACCCATGAGCTACTATGGAAAGGGAGGCCCAGCTAGAGAGCTGTTGGGCTTTCCTGCAGGTGATAGGGCATGTGGTCTAGTACAGACAGCAACATGTCTGGGGCCAGAAGGCCCATGATTCTGCTCAGATTCCGTGTCCTTTTTGAAAATGGGAAGTGTATGTGTGAGGAAGCTGCCTGGTGAGCCTTTGTCCTCCCTGGCGCTGGACCAGCCTTGGACGTGGCTGGACGGACGTCTCTCTCTGCTCGTTTGGCTCCTGTCCAGCGCAGGGGCCATGCCATCACCAACGACCGTGGGGGGCCTCTGTTGGTCTTGGTGGCTTTGTGTCCTGAGCCCCTCTGCCCTCCCTCCCCAGCTCCCAGGATCCTGCTCTGTCCTGCTTTTCCTTCCTTTGCTTCGGAGTCTGCGATCTCTCCTCGTCCCTTCATCCAGTCACCAAATCTTGGCATTATGCCACAGCATCTTTCTTGCATCCTCAGTTAGGATCATGTTTTGCCAGGCACTTACTGCAGTGCCTGGCAAACCACTCCCTGTCTGTTGGTGGGAGGTGCTTCTTCCCCTCCCTCCCCCCTCCCCGGGCCTGGACCCTCCATAGAAGGGGCAGCTCATGGAGCCACTCAACAGACCCCAACATTTGGAGCCCCATGAGGACCTCTGGAAACAGAGCATTCGTTGGCACCTGTCTTCCGCTGTCCCTGTCCTAGGTGCAGGGAGTCCCTGTGTTCCACTGGGCCCTGGAGAACCCCAGCTCTCTTGTGGTCAAACTCTGGGAAGGCTGTGGACTTGGACTCTCTGAACTGTTGCCCCACTCTGATGACTCCCTGACCTTGTGGGGTGGGGAGGAGTAAGGAGCTGTGTGAACGTCAGTGAGGGCGGGACGGTGCCCAGAAGGGCTCATGGGGAGGCAGAAGTGCTGGTGGAATCTCTGTGGAGCCTCCGTTCAGTGACAGCCCTCCTCCCAAAATTCCATCCTGTCTTGTGACTTCACTCTGTTTCACGTAGTTCACAGTGAATTGATCTGCTTCCGTCAGAGCCTCTGGGACGTGGCACTAATTGCAATTCGTTGCTTCCAGAGTCCATGCAGAGCACTTGTGACAAGGAGGGGAAAGTAGGGGGGTGGTCTCGACTCTGAGCCCCCCCAAGTAGTTAGAGAGCCGTGCCAGTGTCATATTCCCCTTAAAAAAAGGGTTTGTCTAGGGAAGTTTGGATTCAGTCAGAGGGTGGCACCAGGAGGGCCTCGAGGGTTCCCCATCCCTGGTCTGTAGGCAGGGCTGTTCCTGCTGGTGAAGAGGGCAGAGACCTTTTTGGAGTCTTCCCAGTGGAAGCGGTAACCCCTGCATCGGGCCAGGGCTAGGGCCTGGGGCGGGGATGGTCATCGAGGGCTGACCGTCTGCTGAGTACCATCACCTTGGACTCTTCCCAAACAGTGCCGACAACACGTGGGAACCCGAGGAAAACTTGGATTGTCCAGAGTTAATTGAAGCATTTCTAAATTCCCAGAAGGCTGGTAAAGAAAAAGATGGAGCCAAGAGGAAGTCTTTGTCTGACAGTGAGTCAGATGACAGCAAGTCAAAGAAGAAGCGTGAGTCGGTGAGTGTTCTGGAGCCGAGGTGGCGGCACTGTTGGGAGGGAATTTGTGGAGGGCCTGGAGCGCTCACGACTGTTTATTCCGCTCGAGAGTCCTGTGTTAATGACCCCCTGGCGAGGCTTCTTCTCTCACTCTTGGACAGCCTGCTTCCCAGCCCTTGCCTCAGTTTCCCTTCTGGGGCAGATGGCCTGGGATCCGTGCCAGCCCTAGTTCAATGATCCGAAGTCCCCCGAGCCCATCCTCTCTGGCCAAGCTGTTGCCTTTTGCTTGTGTATCATTTAAGTGTTGGGGCTCGGCTTTAACTGTCCTTCCCCAAGGCTCTTGAAAGGACAAGATCAAGAAGAGGGCACGTGTTTGGATCGTTGACAGCCCCATCCCATTTCCTTTACTTCAGGGTCATGGACTCTCTGTAATTCATACAGTCTTTTTATAATTGTTTATCTTCCAAGAGGTGTCCTCTCACACTGGATCACATCAGTTCCACAAAAGCCCCTTCACCAGGGGAGTTTTTGCTTCCTGTCAGCACCATGAACAGGCTAGGGCTTGAGGAAGTGAGTGCTTTCACGTCATGGGTGATGAGCTGCAGGGTTTGGAGGACCCCGGAGCTAGACAGTGTTTTATGTGGTGAATTCATTGTAGAGCGTAAAAACATAGGCTGTTTTTTAAGATTGGCTGTCATTACCTTTTGTCTTCTAATTTTTTAATTGCATGGACAAATCTTAGAGTCTCCCCCTCCTCCCAAGAAATTCTGCTCTCTGATGGGGTGGGGGGTGGGGTTGATTGCATTACGTGAAAAGGCAATCTGAAATAAATAAAATCAAAGCGTTGGTAGCTGTCTAATGGCACAGCACGTGCTGTACGTTTGAGTTTTTTTAAATCTTTTTAAACTGACAGTTCAAGACTCAATTTGGTTTTTGGCTGAGCATTTTTGTGTGTGTGTGTTTGGTTTTCCGTTTTCAGTGCTGACCATAGATTCCCACTTGAGCCACTTGGATTTTGTGTGATGTGATCATTCACTATAGCTTTTAGAGAGTTCTGTGCTCACTCCTGGGCTTTGTTCTCATCCTCTGTGAAATGAGGGATTTGGGCCGGATGTCGTAATAACACTCCTCTTTAAAGCTGGCTAGTGAGATGTGCCAGTGTGGAGAGAGTTGGCTGACCAGACTCTTGTCACTTTTCACGACAGGCCGACAAGCCACGGGGCTTTGCACGGGGCCTTGATCCAGAGCGAATCATTGGTGCCACGGACAGCAGTGGAGAGCTGATGTTTCTCATGAAGTGGTAAGAACTGAAGTGGGAGGTGGTGGAAAGGGATGTTTGCTAAAGTAAGTTTGTGGAGGCACCCAAAGAGAGCATCTCAGCTGGTTTTCATGGTATACCTCTAGCCCGTGAGGGAGGAGACATTTATAAGCTTCTTTAGCAACTGTACACACTAGGCTGTGTCTGTGCGTGTGTGAGCGCTCGTGTTGGGGGACACGTTTAGAAATAGTCTGGCCATCTCTAGTGAGATGTCACAATTGTCCAGTTCAGTGCCTCCAGGCTGCCCATGTGGATACTGAGGGACAGGTGGAGATTTGAATACTGGACCTGACCCTGCAGGAGGGGAGTGATTTGTTCTGCGAGAGGTGACTTGAGCAGGGCCTCAAAGGGATTGGTGAAGGGTTAACTGTAGAGGTGCAAGAGGAGACAGCGTTACCAGGAGCTTGTGTGTGGTGGCCAGGAAGTGGCCAGAGAAAGGGTGGCTGTTGGGCAGTAGCAGAAGGGGGTGGGCTGTGGATGCCCTGTGAGCTTTCTAGCTGTTTAAGTTCAAGGCTTGAGGGTGAACTGTTCAAGAATATATTGTTTTCATCCAAATAAAAGCATTCTTGACAGAATTAATCTGTGTTTGAACATATTTCATTTTTAGCGATAGGGATTAACTTGCTTAGTCCACCAGTATTCCTTGTTAACTTGGTGGAAGGTTGGAAAGGGTCCTTTGGCAAACAGAATGAACACAGGGAAGGAAAGGTTCAGGGATAGTGCCCTGTAAAGAGGAAGATGTGGAGTTTCCAGCTCCCATAGACTAGTGTGTAAACGTGAGAGGGATCTTCGGCCTTTGTCCACTGGACGTTTACCCGGGCTATCCACTTCCTGAAAACTGAAAAACAAAAGGCTGCAGTATCGGACACAGTGATCAGTCAAGCGAAGCATGTTCTCAAGATGGGCGATGTAGTGGACAGCATTGGGGCGGGTCCTGCTTTTAGGGGTCATTAAAAAAAGGTGTAGCCATGGCCTTCTGAAATGACTAAATTGTGCATGATGGACTTTGAGCCCCAGCCCCAGCCCCTCACGTCTTAAAGACAGATCAGTCTCCACTAGCCAAAATGAAAAGATGGCTTCTGACTGGGTGGGTGGCAGAGGCTGGCTGTAGCAGTACCCAAGACAACGGGGGAGGCATCAAGGCTGTTTTCTCTGAGCCAATGGCCCCGTCCTAGAAATAAGAGAATTACTGTGTGTTCCTCTACCCTACAAAAAGATCTGTCATAAATTGAGTTTAGACCAATGACTTTTTTTTTTATAATAACTATGGGGCTTCATAAATTGACTGTCAGCACTCAGCTGGGTCTGTGAGCCCATTGGTATTAGTTGCTACTTCCAGTGGTGTGGATCAGAACCCACCTTTGCCTGCCCATCCTGTTCAACAGCATGACGTTATGTAATTATGTAGGGTTCAAGGGCATTAGAACTTGAAATGAAAGGAAAGCTCTTAGACACCACATTTTCTTGGCAGTCTTCTGATTTCATTACATTGTCAAGATAAGTGTAATTGAGTCTACTGAGATTCCTTTAAATTTGATATTATACGGAAGACACAAGAGGATGAAATAGCCAGTTGGTATAGGCTGCCCTGGGTCCTGAGTTTGAGAGAAAATCCCGGGAATGGCAGGCTCTGGCCAGTGAGTTTCCAGTTTGCCCCACAAGCTCAGATCCATCAAATTCACCCCTATTTGATTAGAAGCCTAATCATCCTTCTTTTAAATCAGCACTTTTCAATTGTGTCGACGTTCTGGTTGTTTTTTGACCCAGCTTTTTCCACCCTCTGCACAGGAAAGATTCCGACGAGGCCGACTTGGTGCTGGCCAAAGAAGCCAACGTGAAATGCCCTCAGATAGTCATCGCCTTTTACGAGGAGCGACTGACCTGGCACTCCTGTCCTGAAGACGAAGCGCAGTAACCGTTTGCATCGCTTTTTTAGAAATATATATATATACACACACACATATATATATATTACCAAACCTGGATATTGATTTCATTGTTTGATTTGTTAGCAGTGTGAGCGCCATCTCCATCTAATGAGAACTCAGTTGGGTAGGTTTTAAAGTAGGTTTTTGTTTTTGTTTGGTTTGTTTTTCGTTTGGGCTGGTTTTTACTTTGCAGCAGCAGCACTGGTAACTGAACAAGTAAATACAAGCTTTCTGCATTTACTTAACATTTATCACAGAAGAGAGCATTTGATACTATGGAATTATTAACTTCCTCCACAGTAGAGAAAAACTTTTATAAATACTGATTAATACCTTCTGTAGTCACTACTCTGAATCCTAAGAAGTGTTTAGCCCCCATGTATGCCTAAGGTTAGCTGTCTAAGAAATTGTTGTGTCCAGGTAGCATTTCCCATGATGCTCAGAGTGGCAGAAAATGTGCTGCCTTCCCTTCTCCAACCACTAGAACAGAATGATTGTGTAGGCGCGTCAAAGCCTTGCCGGGGTGTTCATGGTAGTGTGCGCTCAGTGTCTGGGCCCTGTTAGGGTGGTGGTGAGCATCTTCCCTGTGGGCGCAAAGGCAGCTCCAAGAACACGCAGAAGGGGACAGCTCCACATTTGTTATCCAAAAGGGATCCTCTTCCCAAAGCCTGAGGTCCAGATCTGGCTGGGCAAGACCCCCGTCTGCTGGGGCTCCCCACGGCCCAATATCTCCAACGGTGACGTTGCCCAATGCTAGGTTAGAAACGTGTGTGGGGAAATGTTGCCGACACTTGTTTGAACGTTTACCTGAAATGTTGAAATAGAACCGTTTTGGCCTTGATTTTAAAAAAGGAAAGCTTGGACTTCCTGCTTCAGAAAGTAGGGGTGTCCCATCTTATTTTACTAACCAAAGGGTCCTTTCTCAATCATGTAGTAACATCCCCGTCTGCTGGAACATAAATATTCTGCCCAAAGGGCAGGCATTTGGGGGGGGGGGTTGTGTTTTCCTAACTATGGGCATAAATGGGGAAGCAGACTTACCCATGTTATGTAGTCTTCTATACTCTTGATGTGCATGTTTTTCCTTTATCCCAACCCATCCCTTCACGTAGAACCAGCCTTTTGAGTATTTGGGTCACTTGGCTCCGCGGGAGTCAGGCAAAAAAAATAACTTTGTAGTCATTGGAATGTTATACAACTGTATATTGTTTACTTTATTGTAAATACTGGTGAACAGTGGTCAATAAATAGTTTTATATTCTTCCTTTACATGCAGAAGCTTTTTCTAAACTCCCCTCACATGAATGGAGGTGCTAGGTGTCATGAATGTCTCGCCAGCATTGCCGAATCATTCACCTTTAAAGTTATGGATTGGGTTTCTTTGAAGGGTCTGGATGCCTTTTGTTTTTTATCAGGTATTTCCTGACATACCTGCCACCGATATGAATCCTCCTTTGTAGCAAAGAGAACCGATCCAGTAAAACTGACCAGAACGGTTTACTGCAGCACGTGCAGTGTTTGTGCCCATAGGCTCCCACCAGCACCCCACGAGATGAGTAATTGTCATTCATACGTTACTGCGATCGAATCTACACTGGTTCTGCTTCCTTCACTTTTCCATCAGTTCATGCGATACTTCCTGTGTCTGTGACTCACTATGTTCATTTCCTAACAGTGGCCATGCCAAGGAATTTGGGCAAATTGTTAGCAACTTGGTCTGAGTGATCCCTCTTTGGGCCTTTGGGGTTAGACAAATCCTGTTCGTGTTCTTCAGGAACAAGATTGATCATTACAGTCAGCTTGAATTCTCTGACCCTACATAGTGACCTTTGATATGTAATGTTATAGATTTCTACATTATCTTACTCCCCTTTACTAATTTTGGCTTCCAATTACAGCTTATGGTTAAAATGTATAAAATACCATTGGCTTGAGGCCCTAAATTCTCTCTCTTGGGGAGGAGCTTGAAGGTGACAGGGGCTGGGGTGATGTCAGGGTCTGCCCTGACACATCTGTTCCAGCACAGTTCAGTATTCCTCCTGTCACAGAGCTAGCATCTGGCAGGTACCACCTTCTAGACAGGACACCAGGACAGGTGGAGAGGAGGAACTGGGGGAGGAAGATGTGGCAGATCGAGCCGCCCTTCCTAATTCTGCCCCGTGTGATGAGCTCTCATTAAAATGGTTTCAACGAAGGTAGCTACTGGAGAAATACTGGCCTGCTTTGGTCTCCCAGGAGCGCCAGGAACATCTTGCACTTGGGTTCCTGTGAAAAGGAGCAAAGCTAGAGGGAAACAAGAGAGGACTCCCAGCAAAGTTGGGAGTCTTAGATTGTGAGATAAAGGCTTGGAAGGGAGATCTAATCCTCTCTTTTTTAAGAAGTGTTGGCTTTTTGGACAGACGACTAGAGCACTGACTCTGAAGTCGGGAGAACCCACGTTCAAGTCCGGCCTCAGACACGTACAAGCTGTGCGACCCTGGGCAAGTCACTTAACCTTGATTGCCTCCAAAAATAAGTTGCCTCTTGTTCTTAACTGGAGATTTGTGGCCAACAAGCATTCAGTCGAAGGACCCCCATGACTGCACGTGGGCCACTTGAGGGTCAGTGGCACCCCTCGTCTTGAGAGGGGGAAGGTTCTGCAGTGTGGAGAGTGAGGCATTGTGGTAAACAGCCCCGTTGCAGTCACTTTTCTGATCCCGGGCCGATTCTCTGTAAAGCACGTCAAACAAGGTTAGTCAGCATTCTGCTAGAAGGCCATATGGCCCAGGCAGCCAACTCAGCTAGAAGTTCCTCCTCGGTACCTTTTCAGGAAAAACTGGTCTGGCCTACAGGGTGGATGTTGCCCCTATATTCAGAGGAAATGCCTAGGGTTAAGAGGTGGTCCTCCAGCTCTCAACCTGAATCTTCCTTACGTTTTTATCCTGGAGGATGCTTTTGCCCCTACAGCCCTGCCCTTGGTGAATTTCTCCCTCCCTTTTGAGGAAGTGCCTAGACCAGCCATAGTTGTCTTGGCATGACTTTACTTGCCTTTGTGTGGGTACCTCCACCCCTTTCCCCCCACCACACTTTTTTTATCTTTCGTTAATGTTAATGTGTTGTCTTCCCCATTAAGAGTGTAAGCTCTTTGAGGACAGGGACTTTGTTTTTTTGCTTGTATGTACATTCCCATTCCTTGGTACAGGGCCTAGCAGATAGTAAGCACTTAACTGGATCCTTGACCCAGTTGAGGGTGGGCCCATGGCTAAGACCCAGTCAGCCAGCTCATTCCACTTTTGGATAGCTTTTTTTAAAAAATATTTTATTTTTCCCAGTTACGTGTGAAAACAATTTTAACATTCTTTTTTTCATATCTTGATTTTGAATAGCTTACATAAGGAGGACTTTGGCACTGCCCAGGTTCTGCTGAGGCTGTGCAGAACCAGTCCAAACCCTCTTGTTCGTGGTAGACAGCCTTCAGACACTGAATAAGATCATAGATTTAGTCCTAGAAGGGGCCTCGGAGGTCATTGAGTCCCTCTCCCTTGTTTTACAGACGAGGCAGCTGAGGCTGGGAAGCTGTGACTTGCTCAGGGTCACAGAACTAGCATCTGAGGCAGGATTTGAACCAGGGCTCTCCTGACTCCAAGGCCAGAGCTCTGTCCAGTGTGTAATAGTGGACAAGAGTTCTCGTGCTTTCCCCTTGCCCTGGTCTCTTACATCCCTCGATCTTTCATCCTCAAATGTCATCATCATGAGTCCCTTCACCATGCTGATTACCTTCTTCTGGATGCTTTCCAAGTTATCGGTGTCCTAAATGCTGGGGCCCAAAACTGAAGGGAGCTGGAGACAACGGGAAGGATGCTGTGTTGGGAATCAGTGCAAGTTTGCCTTCAAAGCCGAGTGACCTTTGTGCTCCTCAGTTGGACAAGATGCTCTGTGAGGCCCTTGCTGGCCTAAAGTCTGTGAGCCTCCATGGTCTTGAAGGAAATAATGGCACGCCAAGACTCAGGCTGAGAGCTGGAAGACCACCTCCTAACCAGATACTTCCTCTGTAAAGAGGAATGACATCTGCCCTGGAGGCGGGGCTAGTTTTTCCTGAAAATACATCAAGGAACTTTCCAGCAAAGATGGTTGCCTAGACAGGAGACAGACCATCTATTCCCCCATGCCTACTAAACAAAAAACCCCCAGTTTGCACCAGACCAAATAACAAGAATCCGATGAGACTCACACTACTCCCACCCCAGAATTGCAGAAAAGTCAGCCCAAAGTTCAGGGGCAGTAGAGACAAGGGTGGCCAGTGTGATGAGAGAGCAGCCCTAGACTCTTCCAGATAGGCCTGCACAAAACTCTGTATGCAAAGGCAGTAAGAGTGGACGGCTCTTTGGAAGCCTCAAAAGCCCCAGGAGCAGCCAGTGAGGGCCAGACAGCCGGCTGCTACTGTTAGAAGCAGCGCTGTACATGTCAACGTTCGTGTCTGCATTGTACTACATTCTCCTTGTGAGGCTGATTGCTGTAGCGCTGCTGATAAACAGCTCTCGCTTTGAATCAACGACACGCCAAAGACAGCAGGAATTGTGTTTATTGTTCTTGTTAAAACTCTATAATTAGTAATTGTGGAGATTCCATAGCTGGCATTCTCTGTGTACTATCTTAAAAAAAAAGCAGAGACTTAAGGGGGGGGGGAATGGATTTTCCACAAGCACTCCACGAATGCCTAGAAGAAAGGAATGAATCAGGAGATAAAAATTACAAGCTCTGGAGCTAAGAATTAGAATAAATAGAAAAGTGTGGCACAGCTAGGTGGCGCAGTGGATAGAGCACCATCCCTGAAGTCAGGAGTACGCAAGTTCAAAGCCGGCCTCAGACCAAACTCTTGACACTTACCAGCGGTGTGACCCTGGGCAAGTCATTTAACTAAAAAAAAAAAAGTGCTACAATTTTGCTATGTCCCAGCTTCTGGATTCTTTGGCACAGGGAAAGGAGTCCATGAATGAAATCAAGACTGTCCAAGAGGTAGAAGAAACCAGCTTTGGGATTGCAAATTCTATGCTCAGTGGAGATTTCCTTTCCTGTGAGAGGCTTTTGATCCAGACTTAGTTTGTAGACAAGTCAAGTACATGTTACCAGCATGGAGGAGTGGGGAGTGTGACTCATTCACCCCAAAATGGTGAATTTTTATTATGCTGATAAAAACTTTTTAACTGAAATGACTCAGAACCAATCATTAGGTGGTCGTTAGGATGATGTACATAATTAAATTAATTTGTTTTTATTTCATTTAATCTTTTTGTCTCATAAAGAATGATCTTCAGAGGAGCCTTTCAACCTGGCGCAGATGTATGAGGCTACAAAATGGCAGCCTTCCATTAGCTTGCTTTTTAGAGACCTAGAAAAAAAAGAGTAAAACTCTTTGCAAACCGAGTTGAAGGACAGTGACATTCCAGAAAAGCCTTTGGGGATGGAAATCAGGACCGTTGCCTGTTTCATACCCATTGCTTGTTCTTGGAGAAGAGGCACTCAGATGATAACCAGCAAGCCAAGGGACTCAGGGAAGCTGCATTTGTGCACATTTTTGATCGTAGGAGCTGAGACCTGGAGAAAGCAGATGGGCTCTTGTCCCAGGAAATCTCCTTTCTGATCACAAATCTCTGATTGTATCCTGCCATTTCTGGGCAGCAAAAGTGGTCTAAGAATATTCTGTTTTTTTCTTTGTATCCACTTTTTGTGTGTGTGTGTCCAGACCTGTGATTTCACCTGTATGGGAAACTCCATCTACCTATGTAGACTAGCCCCTCCTCTGCAGCTGTAGTCTTCGGAGAGTTGCCTCGGGCACTGAGTGTGATTCAGGGGTCACACAACCAATATGTTTCAGAGGCAGATTTCAGCTTTAAGGCCAGCTCTATCAGCGATGACATATTGCTTGTCCCAAATTTCCTAGCATGTGAATGTAAAAAGTGGAAAAAGGGTAGAATAGCTGAGGTTCTGAGTTTTGTTGTTTCCCCCACACCAAAAATGGGAAAACATAGGCAAGTGACAGTCCTTCCTGGAGCATTTGTTCAGAATTTCCTCCAGGTCTACGATACTCGGACTTTTACAAAGAACAGCCTACTTAACAGATCATAGATTTGGGACCTAGAGGGCGCTTTTGGGGTCATCTGGTCTAATCTTAACTCCCATTTTTCTTTCAAAAGGCAAAGATCTTGGCTAGTCATGTACCATCGAGGTTGATTGGCAACTCACCTTCTTCTTCGGTATAATTTATGCATTAAATGGTCCATGGATTGGCTCCAGTAGACTACAGATTGATTAAGATGGGATGAATTAAGAAAACTAAGGGAGATTTTTAAAACATGGACCAGGGAGCGTGGAGGACATATCCATAGCTTAGCAGACATCCTCTTTCTAATTGATGACAATGTGCGGATGCTCCTGCTGAGGCTTCTCCCCACCCTGTCCTTGTGCCATTAAGCAGCTCTAGAGCCTAGGGAGTATTGCTTGACCCAATAAGGGCCCCGTTTCCTCATGTGTCTTGTGTCAGGCAGGTAAGGAGGTGCTAGGACAGGAGGTGTTCACCTTTTCTGTGTCATGGATTCCTTCTCAGAGTTGCCTTTTAAATAATTTGAGGAAATGCTAAGTTTCAGTTAGAGATTCATTAATATAAAGATGTAATTCTTTTTTCCTATCAGAGTTCCTGGACCACTGAAATCTGTCTATAAACCCCTTGGGGATCTTTGAACCCCAGGTTAAGAGCCACAGTCAAGGTAATCTTTAAAATCCTTTTTCTCATTTCTTCACAATTTGGTAATAGTGGAAAGAGTGCTGTTTTTGGAGGTGGAAGACCTGGGTTTGAATCCTGCCTCTTCTACTTACTCTAGATTTAACCTTGGGCCTCAGTTTCCTGTAAAATGAGGAAAGTAAGACTAGCTCTCTAAGCACACTTCCTGCTCGAAATCCAGTACAGTCCAATAATTAGCTCCAATAATAACTGACATGGAAAAAGTCAGAAATCCTGGCTTGCTGACATCATCTTTTGTTCTATTCTCTCAGGTAGTAAGATGCGGCATCACTTTCAAAGAGTAGATCCACACCTGTCTCTTTGGATAGTATTCTACGAGCACTTTAATTTAACAACCATTTATTAAGTAGGAGCTGAATTAATGTGTGGAGAGTGATTTCGAAGTGACCACTTGGTGCCAGTCTACAGAAAGTGCCACCTTGAAAGTGCTTTCACTATCTATTTCCAGGTATGTGAGCACCTTGCCTCTAGACCTCAGCACTACCACACCAGAAGTCTCCCTTGGCTTTTGGGTCAGAGAAGCTGGGCTTCGATGCCTGCTCCCATATACTTGGAGCAAGTCCTTTCATTTCTGAGCCTTAGATTGCTCTTCTATAAAATGGGGTTTCAGCTGAGGTCTGTTGGAGCTGGGTGGTGCAGTGGATAGAGTGCAGGCCCTAGCATGAGGAGGACCTAAGTTCAAATCCAGCCTCAGACATTTACTAGCTGTGTGACGCTGGGCAAGTCACTTAATCTTTGCCTCCGTTTCCTCATCTGTAAAATGAACTGGAGAAGGAAATGGCAAACCACTCCAGTATCTTTGCCAAGAAAACCCCAAATGGGGTCATGAAGGGTAGGATACAACTGAAATGACTCAGCCACTGTTGGAGCTCCAATCTTATAAGATCACTGATCCTACAGTCTTCACACAAGCTAGGAGGAAAGTAGCAAGGCTCCTCAGCTGGAGTGGAATTGTGTGGGAGGGAGGGAGTTCCATCATCAGAGAGCTCTTTCAGGTAAATGGCTTCTTGAGCAATTTCTGCTGTCATTTAAAAAAAAAAAACCAGATTGGTGATTTTTCCCTTTGAAGAAGTGCCTTTTACTGCTGCAGATTTGTGACTGTTCAAGGCAAATGCCTGGAAGCGCTGGCCTGCAGAGACCTGGGGCTGCCCCTCACCCTTCCACACACACCGTGGGGGACATTCCTTTTGCAGTCTCCCAGGGTGCATTACCGTGCAAGGTTTTCAAACTAGGCTGGCCTATGCCTGGGACACTCAGAGCTTCACTGATATGCCCAGGATTACGGAGGAGGGTCTAAAACTCAGGCTCTGCAGATCCTAGCCAGAGAAGCCTGGGGGGACCGAGGTGGTTTTTTTTTAAAGACGTTTACCAGCCCCTTCCTCCATTTCCAGTTTCTTCTCCTCTTTGCACGTTGCTCATCTACAATCCCTGTGCTGTAGAGCACAAAGGACCATCTTCTGGCTTTGCACTTGCCGTCCCTGTAAAGTTCTTCCTCCTCATCTCCACTTTCAGGAATCCCTGCCTACCTTTCAGGTTCAGTCCATGAACCACCTGGAGGTACATGACATGACTCCTCAGTAACTAATGCCCTTGGGAGCCAGTCCATGACCCTCTCAGATCAAACTGGATTCAACTTCATGAAAATAATAACTAGCATTTATATGGCACTTTCTATATATGTTATCTCATTTGACCCTTACAAAAGGATGGGAGGGCAGTGTTATTATTTTTGTCTTCATTTAAAGTTGAGGAAGCTGAGGCAGAGGTCAACTGACTTGCACAAGGTTATACAGCTAGTGTCTGATCAGGATTTGAACTCAGGTCCTCCTGATTCCAAGTCTAGCACTCTATTCACTGCATCACCTAGCTGCCTCTGTATCCCACTCTGTTCAGTTCAATTCCACAAGCTTTTACTGCTCTATGGAAGGCACTAAGGAAAGACAAGGAATGGACATTCTCATGGAGGAAATACTGTATGGTCAAAGACAAGAAGAATCAGAGTCGACATCAAGTCATTCTTGGGGTGGGTAGCACCTACCCAAGCAGGAGAATCAGAAAGGGGGCCCCTGAGCTGTGCCTGGGAGGGAATGAGGGATTCCAGCAGACAGCAGTGAGGAGAGAATTCCCTGCCTGGAGGGCGCCTTGTACAAAGTCATGGCGTATGGAGATGGGTGGGCCAGAATGGAGAGCCCGAGAGGAAGTAACATCAAGGATCAGCAAACGCAGGCTGAGCCAGACTGGACGAGGCTTCACGTGCCCAGCGGGGGAGTCTGTGCTTTCACCTTTGAGGCAGTAGGGAGCTACTGAAGCTCTTTGCAGGGGGAGGGTGGATCCTGCCCTAGAAGTGTGACAAGGTGGTGACCATTTCTCTTTCCTGTTTCTTTATTTTTATGAGAAACTTGACCCTTGCCATCCCACGTGCCCCATGGGTGGCACATAAATTTACATTGTAACCTACAGAAAAGGATTTGGGCATTTGCAGAGTAGAGGCTGATGAAGATTTCATTGCTTCCAGGGGCGGAGCCAAGATGGCGGAGTGAAAGCAGTGCCTTGCTTGAGCTCTCCCCCAAACCCCTCCAAATACTCATAAAAAATGGCTCTAAACAAATTCTGAAGCAGCAGAACCCACAAAAAGACAGAGTGAAACAAATTTCCAGCCCAAGACAACCTGCATGATTGATCAGAAAGGTGTATCGCGCCGTACTGCGAGCGCAGCACAGCGTAGCATGGGCGCACAGGCCACAGTGAACCTGGAGCAGGCCTCAGAGGACTGAATCTCAGGCAGCTGTGGCGGTTTCCAGACTCCTCAATCCATGAATGCCAAAGACAACTTAGAAGGTCAGTGGGAAAAGTCTGTTTCTGTCGGTGCTGAGACAGGAAGGCGGGGTTTCAGCTCCATTCCCCAAGAGCGTGGCCCGGGGTGGGGGGGGGGGCAGCTGCTTCCCGAGCTTCCAGCCCACAGACTGAGGGGGAATCCAGTGGCTGATCAGAGAGGGATTGCAGGGATCTCTTTGCCAGTGCTGAGGCAGGAATCTCTTGCTTTGCCCCTGTTTGGATCTGGGTCACAGTTCTGGGCAGCGGTGCTGGGGTGAGGAGGAGCGCTGGCATGGTAGAGCTTGGAGTGGCTGTGGAGAGGAACCCTCCTCACAGTTACAGGACAGAAAGGAATACTTGTGGTCACAGGCCAGGAAAGGAGTAAACACCTCGCCCCTTATCATACCACCTTGGAAGAACTGAAAATTTACAGGTCCCTACAAGTATCTCTGAAAACAGCTGTACAAACCCCTGAAGCTTGGGACAGTACATTCTCCACATTGGAAGCAGACTCTTACCTTAACAAAGAGTTTAAAACTCAAGTAATTGGCTGGGATCATGAGCAAGCAGCGCAAAAAGAGTCAGACTATATTATCTTACTTTGGTGAAAAAGAAGATCAAAATATACAACCAGAAGAAGACAACAAAGTCAAAGCTCCTACATCCAAAGCCTCCAAGAAAAATATGAATCAGTCCCAGGCCTTGGAAGAGCTCAAAAGGGATTTTGAGAAGCAAGTAAGGGAAGTAGAGGAAAAACTGAGAGTGATGCAAGAAAATCATGAAAAACAAGTCAACAGCTTGCTAAAGGAGACCCAAAAAATACTGAAGAAAATAACACCTTAAAAAAAGCCTAACCCAAATGGCAAAAGAGGTCCAAAAAGCCAATGAGGAGAAGAATGCCCTAAAAAGCAAAATTGGCCAAATGGAAAAGGAAGTCCAAAAGCTTACTGAAGAAAATACTTCCTTAAAAATTAGAATAGAGCAATTGGAAGATAGTGACTTTATGAGAAATCACAACACAGTAGAACAAATCCAAAAGAATGAAAAATTAGAAAACAATGTGAAATATCTCATTGGAAAAACAACTGACCTGGAAAATAGATCCAGGAGAGAGAATTTAAAAATTATTGGACTATCTGAAAGCCATGATCAAAAAGAGCCTAGACATCATCTTTCAAGAAATTATCAAGGAAAACTGCCCTGATATATAGAACCAGAGGGCAAAATAGAAATTGAAAGAATCCACAGATCTCCTCCTGAAAGAGATCCCCAAAGGAAAACTCCTAGGAATATTATAGCCAAATTCCAGAGTTCCCAGGTCAAGGAGAAAATATTACAAGCTGCCAGAAGGAAACAGTTCAAGTACTGTGGAAACACAATCAGGATAACACAAGATTTAGCAGCTTCTACATTAAAGGACTGCAGGGCATGGAATATAATATTCCAGAGGGCAAAGGAGATAGGATTACAACCAAGAATCACCTACCCAGCAAAACTGAGTATAATCCTTCAGGGGAAAAAATGGTCATTCAGTGAAATAGAGGACTTTCAAGCATTCTTGATGAAAAGAGCAGAGCTGAATAGAAAATCTGACTTTCAAATACAGGACTCAAGTGGAACATGAGGAGGTAAACAGGAAAGAGAAATCATAAGAGACTTATTAAGATTGAACTGTTTACATTCCTGCATGGAAAGATGATATTTATAACTCATGAGACCTTTGTCAGTATTAGGGTAGTTGGAGGAAAAAAATTATATGTATGTATACATAGATAGATAGATACAGGGCACAGGGTGAGTTGAAGATTAAGGGGTCATATCTGTAGAATAAAATTAAGGGATGAGAGAGGATTATACTCGGAGAAGACGAAAGGGAGAGGTAGAATGGGGTAAATTACCTCAAAAAAAAACAACAGAAAAGTCTCTTACAGTGGAGGGGAAACGGGGGAAGGTGAGAAGGAATGAGTGAATCTTATTCTCATAGGATTTGGCTTAAGGAGGGAATAAAATACACACATTCAATTGGGTATGGAAATCTGTCTTACCCTACAAGAAAATAGGGGGAGAAAGGGACAAGAGAGCAGGGGGATGATAGAGAGGAGGGCAGATTGGGAAAGGGGGTAATCAGAAGTAAATACTTCTGAGGAGAGACAGGGTGAAAAGAAAGAATAGAATAAATGGGAGGGCAGGATAAGATTAAGGGAAATAGAGTTAGTTTTTCACAACATGTCTGCTATGGACGTGTTTTGCATAACTGCACGTGTACAACCTATATTGAGTTGCTTGCCTTTTCAATGAGGGTGGGTGGGGAGGGAGGAAGAGAGAAAATTTGAAACCTGAAGTTTTAAAAACGTGTTTTAAAAAAATGTTTTCACATACTACTGGGAAATAAGAAATACAGGAAATGGGGTACAGAAGTCTATCCTGCCTGACAGGAAAATAGAAGGGGAAGGGGATAAGAGAAGGGGAGAGAGATAGAAGAGAGGACAGACTAGGGGAAGGGATATTCAGAATGCATGCCATCTTGGGGTGGGGGAGGGGGAGATGGGGTGAAAATTTGGAATTCAAAAACTTGTGGGAGTGAATGTTGAAAACTAAAAATAAGTAAATTTATATTTGAAAAAAAAAAGATTTCATTGCTTCCTGCCAATTCATTACAAAAGCAAGTTAGATTGGAAAGAAATTCCAATTTTCATTATGAAATCTTAGGAATATTGCTCTCTGGGAAATTAGCTTAGCCTTCTGGCACCAGGATGGGTAGCAATCATGAAAGTATTCCTGCAGGAACATAATGAGGCTGCTGTGCTGGGCGCAGGCCTTCCAGCTGACCATATAGAACCGGCCAAACACAAAAGAGAAAGCCTCATCACTCACTTCCTTTTCTGGCTCCTACCATGCCAGGGTACTTCCCCTGAACCTCTCTTTCAGATCCCTTTCATGTGTGCTTAGCACATACAATAACTGCTTATTGATTTGATGTGGACATACTGTTTAGGCCAAGGTAACAAGTCCTTTGTCCCCAATAGCTGTCTTGTTCCTACCACCACACATTTACATTTGCTGTTCCTTCTAATAGCATACCTCCAACCCTGCAAAATTAAGTTTGGGAGTGGGAGAAGAATTCATGTGTGTGTGTTTGGATGGATGGATGGGTGGGTGGGTGGGTGGATGGATGGACTGTGTGTCCAATAATGCACCCAGATGTTAGGAAATGCTTGTGACTAGAGACATTCCTGTCCAGGCTGCAGATTATAGTTGATTATGTTATATGTGGATTATAGCCTTCACTGAAGGGCACAGTGCTACCAGAGGGTTGGGTTTTAGTTAGAAAATCTGGCTTCACCTTTGGCCCAGCAATACAGGTCTGTATCTGAGAGAGAGAGAGAGAAAGATAATGATCAATATATGCAAAAAATATTTAAAGCAGCTCTTTCTGTGGTGGCAAAAAATTAGAAATTTAAAGGATGCCCATCAATTAGGCAATCACTGAATAAGTTGTGGTATATGATTGTGATAATATAGTATTGTGTTATAATAAGAGCAACAGTTTCAGAAAAACCTGAGAAGACTTTTATGAAATGATACAAAGTGAAGTGAGCAGAATCAGAAGAACTTTATATACGTTATATTGTATGATGATCAACTGTGAAAGACTTAGCAACTCCTATCAAAACAATGGATCCAAGACAATTTAAGTGTGAGAAATGAAAGAGTTAAGTTTCCACATAAGTAGATAGGAAATCAGTACAGAAAGGCTAACTTCTCTGTCCAAGGAGGGGAGTGATAACACAATTCTAGGCACATAATGTATGTTCGAGGTGGGGCATATGAGGAAGATTGTAACCCGGAAGAATTACGACCAATCCTGATCCAGAAGGGAGGAGTTAGGCAATTACTAACTATAAAGATTGTTCTGGCTTCTTTTACCCTGTGCATTTTCTGTCCTTCCAAGAAGTGCACTTGCTTCTCCAGAGAATCGAAATGGCACACTTCAACGTCTTTAATAAAAAGTCTTTGAGACACCAGTCTTCGGAACTGAGTCTGGGGTCATCTTTATAACAAAAAGCATGTATGATAAAATATACTATCCACCTTCAGAGAGATGAACTCTTAATGAAGGATGAAGAATATTTTTTTTACTTTGTTTTTCTTGGGGGGTTTTTTTCCGTCTTTTCTTTTACAGCATGGCTAATATGGAAATGTTTTGCATGACTTCACATGTATAATTGATATAGAATTGCTTGCCTTCCCAAGAAGCATTGTGAGGTGGGAAGGAGGGAGACAATGAGGAACTCAGAATTTTCAAAAATGAATGTTAATTTTTTTTTTTATTTGTAATTGGGAAGTATTTAATTTAGTAAATAAAATATATGGGGGGAAAAAAATCTGGCTTCAAATCCCAGCAATGCCACTCAATGACTATGTGACCTTACATCCCTTCTCCAATTTGAGCCCCAGCATTCCCATTTAAAGACTCGGTCAAGGCGTAAGTCCCTTCCAGGTTGAAAGCTGTGATCCTATGAATCTGGCCTCACATACTTGCTTTCTGTGTGACTGGACAATTGACTTCTCCTCTCAGAACCTCAGTGCCCTTATTCATAAAATGGGGATAATTCCAGTAGCCCCTTCCTCATAGCCTCAGATGAGATCATAGACATGAAGCATTTTGCAAATCTTGAAGCATTATAACAGTTGGGGGGGAGAAGTTGAGGAGGAGAGGAGGGGGAGGTGGGAAGGAGACAGAAGAGAGAGACAGAGATGGAGTCACAGAGAGAGATGTTAGTTCCTGCTTTCATTTGTCTAGATCTTCTCCTTTTTTGATGGGATTCAGACAGAAATTGTTAGGGGACAAATCACTGTCCTGCTGTTATTCAGGATTCTTGGGCTCTACTGGGTGAGTTTTCTCCTTATTTGGCTTAGAAACAAGTCTCTAAGTCACAGCCATGTCCTTAAATTCAATAAACCTGTATTAAGCAGGGACAGATGGGCCAGGCACAGTGATAAGCACAGGAGATATAAATACTAAAAACAAAGACAGGCCCTGCCCCCTAGGAGCTTACAATCTAAAGAAGGCTGATTACACCTATTTATTTTTTTTTTTTTTTAGGCATTTGGGGTCAAGCGACTTGCCCAGGGTCACACAGCTAGTAAGTGTCAGGTCTGAGGCTGGATTTGAACTCGGGTCCTCCTGACTTCAGAGCTGGTGCTCCATCCACTACGCCCCCAAGGCTGATTACACTTAAAAGAAAGCTGAAGAAGGTGGGGATGGGTGGGCTGAAGTAGTGTCTGGATGGGGGAGTGTATCAGGCTGGAAAACCCCTAGCCCACTGCCTTAAAAGGAAGAGTTTATGGCTCCAGCCTCCAATCAGAGGGACAAAGGATACCAAGGAAGGGGAAGGGCCACGGTTGATTGTCTCTGGCACCCTGATGAGTGTAGCCGGGACCTGGAGGAGAAGCCCAGATAATTCCACACTCCATCCCACTGCACACGGCCTGCCAGCTCCCTCTCCCTACGCGCCTTCTCTCATGAGCATGTTTTTATATTTGTATACCCAGTGCTTAGCACATTGTTAAGTACTTAATAAATGCCTTAGCACTCTTTCATTCACAGTTAATGTTCTGTAATCTATGGAAGAAAATAAAATAACTGCTTTTTGTAATTGAATAAAAGTTTTGGATGTCAGCTCGTCCTCTGGAGGCTCTCTGATGGCATCTTGGGCACAAGATTGTTATTATTATTAAAATTATTATTGCTACCTCCTTTGCAGTAGGAAGCCACAAAGGATGTACGTTGGGAAGACACAGAGGAAACCTACCTTCAGTCTTATCAGACACCATAGATTCACAGTCCTATTACGGATTGCTGCTGCAGCTTCCTGATCTTACCTCTGGGACACTTGTGCCACTGGGTCCCCCAAGCACAGGACTACCCCATTCAGCACCTGATGCCAGCTGTCAGATTCCTTCTCCAATGGAGATTCCTCACAAGCTGTCAAATTGACTTCTGGTCAAGGAGAGAGAGACCAGGTTCAAATTTATCTCCTGATGGATCTCTAAATTTTGGCAGCCCTCCCAGGCTGAAAGGGCTGTCAGACCCCCACCGAATGCTATTTGTTTATTGATGTTATAAGTCACCTTGCCCCCAGAAAAGTGAGACACTCTTAAATATGCCAGATTACAGATCAAAATGCAAGGTGTTTGCAGGGAAAAGTGGACAAACTCCTTGAGTCAATCTCAGAGCTGGGCTGTGGGCTCTTAGAATAACTCCTGAAAAAGAAGCAAATAAAGCCTAAACGTTGTGCTTCTGACTCTAAGGATGTTGCCACCATAGTCAGCTGCCCTCTTGCCCTGGAGCTTCCCTCAGGCCTTGGGACCCTCACCCTTCCCGCCACACTGGCCTCCTTCTCTCATAAGTGAGCTCCTTCCAGGGCCTCCATCTTGGGATCAGGCCCAAGCCTCATTTCCCTCCCAGCTGAGCTTCTGACGCCCAGGAATTTGCTACCAAGGCCCCATTTGGCTGACCTTCATTCTCCATCCCCTCCCCCTTTCAGCTTCCTCTTATTGTGTTATCTTCCACCAGTGGACTATAAGTTCCTTGAGGGTAACAGCTGGTTCTTTTTGCTTACATTTGTATCCCTAGAGCTTAGCACAGTGCCTGGCACAGATAGGCCCTTAACATATCTTATTGCCTGAGTGTTTGCCTGTGAATCTTCCTGACCACTATTTCCAGTTACAGTAGTGTTGATTTCTTCTTTTAAAATGGCTTATTGGTGCTTTATAAAGTTTGCTAAATACTCTGTGCCCTTTCCCCCGCCTTCCTGGTAAAACCCTTCTATGTGACCAGAAACTATATTAAACAAAACCCCGAACACGTCCATGACAGGCACCGTATGTCCTATCCGGAGCCATTGTTTACTGCCTCTCTACTGAAAGGAAGGACAGCCTCATGTGAATGTGTCGGGGTTAGCTTGGACTGGCTCCTAAGAGCCAACTGCTAAATCCAGGCCAGCATCTATACCTTGAATAGTGACAAATGCTAGAATCAAGCCTTGATTTATTGCTTCATTGTCTAGACTTGTGAAAATGGAGAAAATGTTCATTTAAAATGTAAAATGTTAATTATGGGGTCAGCTAGGTGGCATAGTGGAGAGAGTACCGGGCCCTGGAGTCAGGAGGACCTGAATTCAAATCCAGCCTCAGTTTTTGGAAAGCTAGTAGTAACAGTTTACCAGCATTGTCTGGTTTATGTGGTCAACAAACATATGTTAAGTACTTAGTGTGTGCCAAGCACTGTGCTCATCTTGAGTCTTCTCCAAGTCCTAAAGTGGGCAGGACCTGCCAACCTTTGGGTCCAGGATGTGTCTAGAACAACCTTCCCATTTGCCCAGCAAATTTCCACTGAGTCACCCCAAGAAATGGCACAAATGAGCTTTGGGACCTTGGACTGATGCCAGCTTTGTCATTTCATCCTCTGGATTGGTAGAGACCTAAATCTGACCAATCGCTTGGTCTGGAGATGGCACATCCCCTTGCATGGTTCCATCCCTGTGATCATCACAGACTGCACAGATCCTGGCCCAGGCATGAGCCCGGTAGGACAGCAATAACTGTGGGGCTTTACCTCCAGCCCCTGCTCTCCTGGCAACCTTACAAATAGTATTAGCTGCATACATATTCAGTTAATCTGTTGATGAGGATTCCAAATTGGTAAAGAATCTGTTCAGGTGGTTGGGTAACTGCCATGCTGTTATTCAGTCCTGTCTGACTCCCTGTGACCCTGTTTGGGGTTTTCTTGGCAAAGATACTGGAGTGGTTTGCCATTTCCTTCTCCAGCTCACGAGGAAATTGAGACAAATAGGGTTAAGTGATTTGCCCAGTTTCACACAACTAGTAAGTATCTGAGGTTGGAACTCAGGTTCTCCTGACTCCAGGCTCTGGTGCTCTATGCACTATGGCTCCACCTAGTGGCCCCAGTAACTAGGGTAACTAGCTATGCTTTGGTAATGTTGGAGGATACGCTCATGCCCCTCACCTGCGGCATCATCTTAGGTCATCACTGCTTCTCTCACGTCTTTGGGAGGCCAAGCCTCCCAAAGTAACAAGGTCTGTCTAATAGTCCTTGACGCCTCTAAGAATCACTTGTTCCTGATTTCTGTAAATAATTTTTGCGTTTAAAAGAAAGAGGGGCACAGGGAGGGAATATGAAATTAACATTCTGTCCTGTCTAATTTTGTTGTGTGTCTAGAGAGGTAGGCATTGCTACTGTGGACTACTGTTAAGCTGAGGCTCTCGATATTGCTGCAATCTGCCCAGACCATAGCCTCTTGTGTGGAGGAGGGGGTGGAGGTGGATTTTGATCTCTTAGGCAAAATGAGCCCATTCTAGACAGAGGAGAGAGTTTTCTTGAGTGACGCATACCTCAGGGGATGTCTCAAGAGCCACCTTGAGTTCAAGGATCTGGCCTTCCCGAGAGAAAAGATCCTGGGCAGCAGACCTCTTGGAGAGAGAACAGGATTATCCACGTGGCCCCCCACAGCTGCAGGATCAACAGGAAATGAGAGTTACAACTGTGGGGAAGGAAAACCTGCACTTTGCTCCTCCCTATTGATTTTGATGATGCAGCAGCTTAACAGTCCAGCAACCGTAAAGTGTGTTGGCCTTCCTAGGGGACTCTAAACCACAGGGTCTCGCTACATCTCAAGGGACCAGATAGAACCCTGCAGGAAACCTAATGATTCACTGGAATGATAGGGTATTACTTGTGGAATCCCAAGCTTAACTCCCTCCCATGAGGCATCCAAATCTTTGGGTGATGCTAAATCAAAAGGGAGACCCTTCCAAGATGAAGAATTGTATTGATCATTAATGGGCTACAGGAGTGCTTTATGTGTCCTATTTGTTTCTGGGCTTCCATGAGTCCTTTGTGCATGCTGCATTTTCTGTGAGATGAAATTTAGGTTGTCCATTAGAGTGTATGCACTTGTTGCTTTGATCGCTATACAGGATCTGGGAATCCCAGGACCTGTTGTTGTCCAACTCCTCATGACCCTGATGGGGTATGGGCCCTGGAACCCCCCCCCACCTAACTTTTCTTGAACTCTCCCACATAGCCAAGTCTCTGATGTTTGCTTGAGGCTATAATCCTTTCAACTGGCCTTTCATTGTGGCCTGTGCCCAGACCTCCAATTCTGTAATCTCTAACCTAGTCCAGCCTTTCCTTCATTGTCTGAATGGCCCCAGGTCACTGCTTAACCTTAATTCCTTCTATACTCTGATACCTCCCAGTCACCCCAGCCTACTGTCCACTCCCATCCAGATCTTCCCGTAGTTTTTCTATATATAAGTGTCCATCTTGCCCCCCATTAAATCACTCAGATTCCTTAAAAGTCTGGCCATTAGCACAGATTTTTAGAATCATGCCCACCTTGATCAGTGTTCTAATAAACTTTGTCTTTGGCTGAAAGAAAACTTGGGTTGAATTCATTCAAGGCAGGACCTGAGTTGCTATTTCGGGCTCCCAGTGTTGAGGTTTAGGCGTGCTGGGACCCCCAAAATAGCGACATGTGGATCCTGCCCAAATGAATTCAACCCAAGCCTTCTTTCAGCCAAAGACAACGTGTAATAAAGATCTGCCATATTGGCCAGACTCTTAAGGAATCTGAATATTTGTGATGCTGGTATTAACAGGCTGGCTAGATTAAATCTCAGCCATGGGCCAGACTGAATCTAAGCACCTTAATAGTGGCCAAGATGAATTTTATATACAGAAAGACTGTGTGATGGATCTAGGAGTGGCCAAGTAGTCTGAGGTGACTGTGAAGAGGGGTCTAGGGAGGATCTGAATGAGAGTGGCCAGCAAGCTGGGATGATTTAGAGGTAACAGAACTCCAGGCACCTAGACCATGTGGCCAAGGGAGAATGGAGTCTAGATGGGATTAAGGGTGGGAAGTGGCCAGGGACAATGGAGAGGTAACAGAACAGAATTGGGAGAGTGGGTATAGCCACAATGAAAGGCCAGGTGAGTGGATTACAGCCTCAGGTGAATACCCCAGACTTGACCACGTGGGAAAGTCCAGGGCTTTTCCTTTTTGAGGTCCAGATCCCAAAGACAAGTTTTTTTTTCTTTTTAGGGGTTCAGATCCCATCTCCATCATTCCTCCCTTCAACAAATGGGACTCAAATTCTTTTGGGATAAGGGGCAAAGGTCTCAGCTTGGGCCCATACCCCATCTCCAGCACCCCTAAATCTCAATAACCCCATCTGGGGTTTTCTTGGCAAAGTGCTGGAGTATTTTGCCATTTCCTCCTCCAGGTCATTTTTACAGATGAGGAAACCAAGGCAGACAATGTTAAGTGACTCACCCAGGGTCATACACCTAGAGTCTGAAGCTGGATTTGAACTCATGAAATGAATCTTCCTGATTCCAGGCCTAGTGCTCTATCTACTGCACTATCTGGCTGTCACATTTGTGGAAAACAAAAAAACAAGCTAGTTACATTGAAGAAGACCTAGATGTGAGCCGTATATTGAGAGGCAGCACAATCCTGAAGAAATAGCCCTAGATTTCTAGTCGGAGAAGCTGGGTTGAAATCCCCACCCATGTGACTTTGGGCACTAACCACTCTGGTCTTCGGCTTACTTATCTATACAATGAAGGAATTAGACCTTTAAGGTTCCTTCCGGCTCTAAGGCTAAGACCTATAGTTTGGGCTCAAGAGATATCCCAGAGCAAATTCTCAGTTGGAGGAGCAAGTTTAAAAGACTGATAAGCCCTCAGGATTGAATCCAGCCTAACCTGAGCTCTAAACTTGGAGGAAATATGGGCCACAGTTTGCATACTAATTCCTTCCGAAGTACTCTCTATCTCCTCTCACTTATCCTCTAGGTCACATTTATTTTCCAACTCACTCACGTATGTATTTTCTTGTCCCAGTGACTCATTCCTCTTCATCTTATGCGGAACAGAAGAAAGCCCAGTCAGACTGCCTGTTATGGAAGCATATTAATTCCCTTCTCAGTTTTTCTAGAAATATTAAGAAATAATATTTCTCTGATCTAAAATCTAGACTTTTCTCAGTTTGAAAATATGTGAACGGTAAAGACTAAAGGTAAAATCTCAGGTAATGGGTAAAGAGTGGAAACCCCTCTCCTTTCCATTCTGGATTTCTCATCCCCAGAAGCAACTGGCCTGTGACCCACTCACAGGGAAGCTCCCTCCCTGATAAATCAGAATGATAATAGTAATTATTAGAAAAGAGATCCTTTCAGTCCTTGACCCAAGTGATCAAAGAAGAATAGGAGGGAGAATAGTGGAATGTCGGTGGAATGTTAACCCCAATTGTATTTACCTATGGTGACCTTTTCCTGGTTCAGGATTTCTATGAATGTTAACTCGGATTATCTTGGGACAGAGAGATGTCCAAGAGTGTGGGTGATAATGTTGATTTGAACATGTGTCTTTGTAGGCTAGAAATGCTTGGGTTTAAAATAAGGTTAAACGAAATTGTCTTATCTTAGGCAACCTTGTACCTTAATTGCAAAGTACAGTATTAATATTTTCTCTTTAACACTACTGACCTCAGTTAAAAATTCAAATTCCAAACATTTATTCCATTCCTATTATGTGCAGGGACCTGACCTAGGAGTCAGGACAAAAATGCCCTCCATGAGGAGGTTAGATTCTGCCAGGGTCATATGACACGTCTTCACATAAATGAACACAAAAGATTCTATGTAACTTCAAATTGTAGGGACCCCTTCACTGAGAATGGGAGGGGGTGGGAAGTCAGGGGAGGTTTGAGGAGGGATCAGAAGGTTTGTGTGCCTTGATAAGAGAAAAAGAGTAGGATTGCTAGGCAGCAGCGAGGGCCCTGTTGAGGTTCCAGTGGAAGTTGCCTCATTTAATCCTCACAACAACTCTAAGAAGTTGCTATTATTATCCTCATCATAAGCAGACAGAGATTAAGCACAGGGTCTCACAGATGTTAGAAGTCTGAGGGAATGGAGAGGGAGAGGTGAAAAGCCAATAGATTAGGGTCAGATTGGGGGATTTCAGAATCCTCGAACATGGACGTGGTGCATTTGTGGGTGATAGCAAGAATGAGGGTATGATTGTCTTTGTGTGTGGCTGAGGTGGGGTAGAGGACTAGCTCATGGGAAATGAGTAGGTTGGGGAATTGAGTGGTTAGGGCATTTGAGGGAGAATCAATATGTTTGCTGAAGTCCCCTAGTGTGACGGCAGCAATTGGGGAGAAGAGGAAAATTGTTAGCCAGCTGTCTAATTCATTGAGGAAAGAAGGGGAGTGTTCTGGGGGTATGTAGACAATAACTACCAGGATTTTGATTGGGTAGTAGGTATGAATGACATGAATCTTAGAGGAAGAGAGGAAGGGGAAGAACCTGGAAGTTGCATGGGAGCCAAGCAGTATTCCAACTCCCCTGCCTCCACTGAGGAGAGTGAGTGAAGGTGCAGCCAGGGATGGGGAGGGTGGACAGGAGACCGTATTGTAAATATTTATTGGTTCTGACTGTAATAAATGTTGATCGATAGATAATAATTAAACCAATGAGAGCAAATCAGATCACCAAAAAGAGGGTTTGCAGTAGCTTCATTCAGTGGAAAGAACATTGGACTTATATCCAGAGAACTTGGGTTCTTTTCTGCCTGGTTCCTTCCAGTGAGGAAGGTGAGCAGTAAGTAAGCCTCCAGGTAGGGAGAAGCCTCAGGAGTTCAACATCTGGACCAACATGACTATGGGCTTCAGTTCTTTTCTTCTTTGCTTTTAGGTGAAAGAGTAGCTGACATGGCTATGACCTTGTCAGAAGACTGAGATGCCAGAGTCGGGGAACTGGAGTGCCTGCAGGATTCTGCAGACAGTGAAGTTGCCAGTAACCTTCTTGACACAGCATAACAGTGGACTGAGGGCACCCAAGAGGGAGAACAGTGACCTATTCATCGGCTCTGCCTCATTCAGATGTGCAGTGAATTTGGGCCAATATGTTACAGTAAAGGTTCTTAGGTTGAGCCTGCTCTACTCTGGGAAGAAGGTGGTATGAAAGAGTATGCCTCCAGGTAGGGGGAAATTTTTTGTAAATTGTGTTCTTGCTATAACTTCTCAGCAAATGTCTCTGCAGAAAGCTAAGGAAACATGGCTTAGCTACTTGGTGCCTGCATGACCTTAAAGTCACTGATCCCTCTGGGCTTCAGGCTCCTCATCTGTAAAACAGCGAGTTTGGACTAAATGACCTCTGAGCTTCCTCCCAACTCTAGAGCCATGGTCTTATTTCCCGTTGCACCACTTTTTTTTTTTTAAGAATTACTTTCTCCAAAAATTAAATGGATTCCAAGAAGCTGTAGAAAATCTGACTCACTGTCCAAAAGGCACATTTGGAAGCAGGACAAATTATGTAAATATCTTCTTTTTTACTTTCGGGCTAAAAGCTTCAAATGATTTGTTGTCCCCTCTGGTGGCAGTTCTGGGACATTTTAGCTGGATGCTGAAGACTACAGTCAAGAGTAGGGATCAATGTTTACAATGTCACCTCTCTTCTCCTTCCCACGCCTCGTGGTTCATGATTGCTGTTTGGGATGAATTTTACTTTTCCCAACTTAAGTATTGAATTACTTGTCAATTATTGTTCTTTTGCACCTTTTCTGTGAGTCTGGACTTTTAGAAATGGATGTGTAGTTTTTTTTTTCCTTGCCTCAGCCACTTTTTTTTCACAAAAGTTTCTTTTTCCCCCCTTTTTTAAAAAAAAGGATTATTTATTTAAAGTTTTTGACATTGACTTTTATGAGATTTTGAGTTCTAAATTTCCACACCTCCCCCCAAGATGGCATGTAATCTGATACAAGCTATACATGTACAATCGTATTAAACATATTTCCAGACATATTATTCAACGACTAACTTTGATAGACTTAGCTCTTCAGGCATCTAAGACAACTCCAAAAGACTCATGGTGGAAAATGCTATTCACAGCCAGGAAAAGAACCATGAAGTCTGAATGCAGATCGAAGCATATTTGCTCTCTCTCCTTTTTTTTTTTTGTTCTTTCAATTCTTCTTTATAACATGACTAATGTGAAAATAGGTTTAATATGAATGTATGTGTTGAGTCTATATCAATTTACATGTTGTCTTAGGGTGGCAGGAGGGGAGTAATGGGGAGAAAATTTGGAACTCAAGATCTTATGGAAATGAATGTTGAAAACTAAAAATAAATAAATTATTTTAAAAAACATATTTCCACATTAGTGATTTTGTGAAAGAAGAATCAGAGCAAAAGGGAAAAGCCAGGAGCAAGAAAAAAAAAGAAAGAGAAAATAGTCTGCTTTGATCCGCATTCAGACTTCATAGTTCTTTCTTTGGATGTGGATAGCATTTTCTATCATGAGACTTTTGGAGATGTCTTAGATCCTTGCATTGCTGAGAAGGGCTAAGTCTATCAAAGTCAGTCATCACACAATGTGGCTGTTATTGTGTCCAACGTTCTCCTAGTTCGGCTCACTTCACTCAGCATCACACCATATACGTCTTTCCAGGTTTTTCTGAAGTCAGCCTGCTCATCATTGCTTACAGCACAATAGTATTCCATTACATTCATATACCACAATTCGGTCAGCCGTTCCCCAATGGATGGGCATCCCCTCAATTTCTGGGTGTGTAAGTTTTTAATGAGATAGTTGAACGGAATGTGGAGGCAAAGAGGGGAACCCCCCGGGAGAATGTGGGATCCCATCGAACATCGTACTGCTCCTCGTGCAGGGTTCACTTGTGCATCTCCAGCCCTCCGGTTCCTTAGTAAGGATGATTTTCTTCGGAGCGGTCTGTACCTCATCAGCTGCCAGAGGGATCTGGCTAATGCAGGCCTTCTTAGGGCCAATAGGAGACATCAGCTATTGCTGGTAAACTTGTATATCACACAAGGGAGGGGGAAATCAGCCTGAAAATCAGAAGGAAGAGAGAAATCATAACAGTCTCAGTTATTCAGACAATGCCACCCTAATGGCCGGAAGGGAAGAATTAGGAAGCCTCTTGATGAGGATGAAAAAGGAAAGTGTAAAAGCTGGCTAGAAAACTAACATCAAAAATACCAAGATCTTGGCAACTGGTTCCATCGCTTCCTGGCAAACAGAGGGAGAAGCAATGGAAGCAATGTCAGATTTTATATCACTGGGCTCAAAGACCTCTGCAGATGGCAGCTGCAGGTGTGAAATCACAGTATACTTGTTCCTTGGAAGTAAAACTATGGCAAATGTGGACAGCGTGCAAAAAACCAGAGACATCACCTTGACAACAAAGGGTCACATAGTCAAAGCATTTGCTCACTCATGATAAAAAACTGAGTGGGTATATCACCAGTATTTACCCAGCTTCCCATTCCAGGATTTTCAACATGAATATCCTTCATGTGTTCTATGTTCCAGCCACACAGGCATAACTGATATCCTTCAGACACAACATCTTGCACAGACTGCCTCACTAGGTCAAAAAACTGAGCCTTCATCTTGACTTCTTAGAATCCATAGCTTTTTTACAGGTTCCACCCTGATGCCACCTCCTTCAAAAGCCCTACCTTGATCCCCTGCCTCTTCCCATTTGCTACTGCCTACTTATTAATAATTGCTTTTTAAAAAAAGATTTAATTATTTTGCAATTATCAAACATTTATTTTTCTCCCTCTCACTTTCTCTTACTCACTGGAAAGAAAGAAAGAAAGAAAGAAAGAAAGAAAGAAAGAAAGAAAGAAAGAAAGAAAGAAAGAAAGGAAGGAAGGAAGGAAGGAAGGAAGGAAGGAAGGAAGGAAGGAAGGAAGGAAGGAAGGAAGGAAGGAAGGAAGGAAGGAAGGAAGGAAGGAAGGAAGAAAGGAAAGAAAGAAGGAAAGAAGACAAAATAACTCAGGTATCATATAAGCACAATCAAGCAAAACAAATTCCCATATTGGCTATGTCCAATGATATGGTTCTCATTCTGCATGTTAGTCCCTCAACTCTGTTATGAAGTAGGCAGCATTGGGGCAGCTAGGTGGTGCAGTGGATAGAGTACCAGCCTTGGAGTCAAGAGGACCTGAGTTCAAATCCAGCCTCAGACATATAACACCCACTAGCTGTGTGACTCTGGGCAAGTCACTTAACCCCAATCGCCTCCACAAGAAATGAATGAAGTGGGCATTTTTCATTGGTCCTTTGGAATCATGGCTAATCATTTCATTGATAGAGGTCTTAAGTTTTTCAGAATTGTTCATTTTTATAATATTGATTTTTCTAGTATAAATTCTCCTAATTTCACTGTGCATCAGTTCATACACATCTTCCCAGGTCTTTCTGAAACCATCTCTTAATTTCTTATAGTATAATAGCATTCTGTTATATTTGTATGCCATAATTTGTTCAGCCATCACTCAACTGATGAAAATTCCACAGTTTACAATTTTTTGCCATCACAAAATATTTTTGTGCATATAGGACCATTTCTTCTTTTTTTGATCTCGTTGTAGTCTAGGACTTGTAGTGGTATCACAGGGTCAATAGGCATGCATTGTTAGTACCTTTGAAGGTATAATTCCAAATAAATTTCTAGAATGCTTAGACTAGTTCAGACAGGTCTACCAGTAGCAAGTGCATCAATGTGCCTGTTTTTCACAGTCCCTCCAGCATGTTTCATTCTCCTTTTTTGTTCGTCTTTGCCATTCTGATTGGTGGGAAGTGGAACCTTAAATTTGTTTTAATTTTAATTTCTGGATTTAGTAATCATTTAGAGCATTTTCTATATAGCTACAAATAGTTTAAATTTCTCCCCTTGGAAACTACATGTTAATATCCATAAACCAGAGGTTCTCAAACTTTTTGGTCTTGAGACTGCTTTACCCTCTTAAAAATGACTAAGTAGCCCTTCCTGCCAAGAGCTTTTGTTTATGTGGGTTGCAGTTATTGATATATACCTTAGTAGGAATTAAAATATCTTAGTATTATTATGAACATAGTTTTTACCTTGTTGACTCCCTGCAAGGGCCTTGAGGACTCCTCAAGATCACTGGACCACCCTTTGAGAACTGCTTCCTTGGACCATTTATCAATTAGGGAGTGATTCTTTTTCTCATAGATTTAAATCAATTTCTAATATATCTTGGAAATGAATTCTTTATCAGAGAAACTTGCTGCAAAGCCATTTTCCCCAATTCTCTTCGAATCTTGGCTGTTTTGAATTTGCTTGTGTGAAAACTTTTTAATTTTACGTAATTGAAATTGTCCATTTTATCTTCTGTGATCTTTATCCAATTTGGTCACAAATTCTTCCTTTTCCATGGATCTGAGAGATAATTTCTTCCTTGTTCCTCTAATTTGTTTATGATGTGACCCTTTATACCCATTTGGAGTTCAGCTTAGCATAAGGCATGAGATGTGGGTCTAAACTTAACTTTAGCCACGTTGCTTTCCAATTTTCCTAGCACTTTTTTTAAAAATCATATAAGCTTGAGTCTTTGGACTTATAGAATTTTGTTATTTAGTCATGTCTGACTCTTTGAGATCCCATTTGGGGTTTTCTTGGTAAAGTTTCTGGAGTGGTTTGCCATTTCCTTCTCCAGCTCATTTTACAGATGAGGAAACTGAGGCAGACAGATTTTTTTCCTAGCTCTACAAAGTAATCCTTTGCTGGTTTGATTGGTATGGCACTGAATAAGGAAAATAACGTAGGTATTATTTTCATAATTTTCTGATATTGGCTTGGCCTACCCATGAGCAATTAATAATTCTCCAGTTTGTTTTTATTTTCTTTGTCTCTGGTTTGTCTTTATTTCAGTCAACAGTGTTTTGTAATTGTTTTAATTTAGTTCATGCATGTATCTTGGTACCATTTCATACATTCTACAGTTATTTTGAATAGAATTTATTTTTCTGTCTCTTCTTGCTGGATTATATTGGTATTATATGGAAATTCTGATGATTTGTATGTGTTTATTGCATATCCTGCCGCTTTGCTGAAATACTTCATTGTTTAAATTAATTTTAGTTGATTTTCTAGGGTTTTCTAAGTACATTATTACATCAGCTTCCTTTCCACCCGTACTT